TTTAATTAAACTCTCGTATAGGTAATGAATATTATGATACCGATGTAACATCTCTGATAGTTTAATATATTGATGTAATTATATAATCGATTAAACTTTATTTTCAAAAAAACATTAAAATTTAAAAATACGATCTTTAGTAAAAGTTATAAAAATATTTTAATTAGTCCTTTTAAATTTAGAATTATAAGTTTTCTTTCTTTATTTAATAAACTTGAACTTTTTTTCCTAGTTAAAAATATTATTATCATTTGAAATATATATCTTCAGCTATATAAAATTATCAATTCACTTAATTTATTTATATATCTATTTATTTTAAACAATTTAAGGTCCATTCAAAATTCGTTTTAGTCAATAACAACATGCATACCCTGTGTAGTTCATAGATTACAATACTCACTCTTACCATTAAGATTATTTAATCGTTCTTACCACTAACACATTTAATAGATTTATTTATTTGTTTGTTCTAAAAATTATAGGGTAAATTATACATTTAGTATATAAATTATCAGTTTTGATCTGTTTTAATACTTAAACTTTTAATTTTTTTCAAAATCATACATAATACTTAGTTTTTGTTTAATTTTAGTACCCATTGTTAAAATTTTAACAGAACTTTTGCATGTGACATTTTCATGGGTAAATTATATAATTCATCCCTTAACTATTTTCTCACTCCTATTTTGATCATCAAAGTTTAAAAAATTTTAATTTTAATTCTCAACTTTCAAATTACTTAAATCACTCTAATTTATTTCAAATAATTTTTTTTGAAAGTTATAGTGATTAAATTACGATTAATTTGAAAGTAAGATAATTAAATTAAAAATAATAAACTTTAATGACCAAAATAGAAGTGAGAAGATATTTAAGGGATGAATAATGTAATTTACCCATAAAAAGTGTCAAGTTGTAACAGTTCATTAAGTTTTTAACGACAGGATACTAAAATGAAATAAAAACTAAATGTTAGGTATGATTTAATTTTTTTTTGAAAGTTCAGATATTAAAATGGGTCTAAATTAATAGTTTAGTACTATACGCATAATTTACCCAAAATTATATTTGTATGGTCTCATATATGTATTCCAGTTTAATGTTTATTCGTATTATGGTATTATGTATGGGTGTTGTACAGAGTGTTTGTAGTCTGCGTTTGTTTAACTGACATTTACCGTTGTTTAATTTTATTTCTTATGATTTCTGTTTTTTATTTTTTTTGAAAGAAGTTATTTTGTATTGAAACGTTTACAAAGTACACTACCTTAAGGACCTCATTAAAAAACCTCTCTAATCCTAAATGGAGGAAAACGAGTATCCCTTAAGGGAGTTAGAAGCTAAGAACATCATTAATAAAGTTGATCACACATAACAAACACCATCCCTAACTCCTAACATAGAGAAACTGAGATAGGGATCTATCCAATTTAACCAACCACTACTCAACAAAACATCTATCAGAACCAAGAACACCAATCATCAAGAAAAATGACTCCTTAGGCTCGAAACGTAAACTTGGACACCAGGAATTTGCATTGGCCACAAACTATAAACCCATACTTCTATCTTCCACACAGTACACAATCTTAATCACACTTGCCATTCACCTCACCTTAATAGAAATTAAAATGCTATTGAAAACTAAAAAGATTGAAGTAAATGACCTAGCATAACTGGAGCAACCATATAGTTCCAATAAAGAAAATATTTAACTCCTCGCATATTGCTGTAATGATTAACAACAACAAAATTCCCAATTTCCTTCAGAAGCGCAATCAATGACAACTCCAATATAATGAACTATAAATGCTAAACTGTGATTGCACCAGTAGAACTAAACATAAATAAATAATCTTGAAGTGATAGTAATCAAAGATCATTAAAAAGTAGCAGAATCTCAAATTCCGACCATAATAAAGAGGAACTTTACAGAATAATCCAAAGCACTATCATCATCTTCTGTTTTCTTTTTAGTTTATTTCTTATGATTTGAACGAATCATTCTTGTATTTGTCAATAATATGATTGTAAATATTAAAAGTATGGTCAAATCCTTATATTAGTCCCTATATTATGCATTAATCATAAATTTGAGGGTAAATTATACATTTAGTACATAAATTATTAATTTTAGTCTGTTTTAGTATCTAAACTTTCAATTTTTTCAAAACCATACTTAAAGTTTAGTTTTTATTTCATTTTAGTACCCCTATTCAAAATTTAATGTTAAGTCTTTAAAAAATTTAAAAGTTTAGGTACTAAAACAGACCAAAATTGATTGATTTTGGGGGAAAAAATTAAAGTTTAGGTACTAAATACATAGTTTACCTTAAATTTTATCAATGTACTCTAATTTAATCAATTCAATCTTCTATACTCTTTAAATTTTGAAATCTAATCATAATCTAAACAATAGTTTTAAAAACGTTAAATCAAATGATGCTACTAATTCATGTATTATATCCAAGTTATAAATTTAGTTCATGTTTATGAGTTTGATTATTTTAAGTCCTTGTAATTTAATAATATTGTATTTATAATAATTTAATCATGACTAAATTTTTGTAATTCAAAAACTAAAAAAAAACAAAATGAACTAAACTAAAGTAAAAAAACCCCCACATTTCAGATACAATACAAAAAGTAATAACATATTTTGACAAAAACGAAATTAAAGAAAGAGGGAGAAAATGAAAGAAAATATCATTTAATAGGCAAAAGAGAATTATGAAATTGTTGACCATTGAGACGAAGGACTTCACAACAGAGTAACAGACAATGGTATTAATTATGGAGTCCCCTATTTCCCTTTGAAAAGTATAAGCACCCGCCTACTAAAGCTAACCATTGCTTTTATGAGGGTTAAACTATACCAACTGTCACTAATATTTTGATAATATTCCCCTTTCCCCCATTAAAAATTGAAAAATTATATTAAAATCAATAATATTATCCACTTATAACATCATAGTCATTCTGTCGTCAGTCCGGTAAATTTATAATGTGACATATTAAAAAAAATACTTTCTAATTTAAATCTTAAACTATTATTAAAATATCAACTAGGTTGTTTAACAAAATTTTTAATTCATTATCCTCTTATCTTCTTATTCTTTTCATATGAAAAAAAAACCCATAGGCCTCGCCGCTCTATCCGTTAGGGATGTTCAAAGTTCGATTAAAATTGATTTAACCGTTTATGAATTTTATAAACTTTGGATACCGATTAACTAGATTCGAAATCAATCGATGTAAGCATTAAAGGTGACGTGTGCTCTCTCATGCAAAAGGTGTGTTCTGAAAGTTTCATCATGCAAATGGCGTGGACGGCATTATCTTATGAAATTTGTTGGTGATGCTAAGTCAACTAGTACACAACTGTAATCCGTTAATTGATTACTAATTCTTGCTTATATATTGTAATGAGTCTTTTCAATGAAAAGTAATTTTTCCTTGTAAACTATTACTAAAAATTAATATGGTATTAGAGCTGTGCACTAATTGATTCAACATAACCAATAATTTCCAATAACATAATGCTCACATCATCTGCATGATGAAACTTTCAAAACACACCTTTTGTATGAGAGAGCACACATCACCTTTAATGTTTATAATCAGTTAATCAAATTAATCGAAATTATTAAAAATTTAATATATTATATATATTATTTATATATTAGAGTGTTTAAACTTCGATTGTAATATAGTTAATCGAACGAATTGGCTAAAAATATAAAATTTAATATATAATATATATTGCTTATAAATTTTGATTAATTCGATTAACCGACCGATTAATTAAATTTTGTTCGATTCGGTTAATTATTTCTGAAAAATTTCAGTTCGATTGACGGTTAGAGGAAAAAATTTTGTTAATAAAATTTTAGAAGTGCGATTCGATTGATTAACTAAATAGACTGATTGAACACCCCTATTCTCCATCACTACCCAACAACCTTCTCCAATCGAATCAGCCAACAAAAGCTTCATCTTTTTTTTTCTTTCTTTTTATTTGATTTATTTTCTTAGAAAATTCTTCAAATATCCCGAAATACAAGGTTTGACTTTTGACTTTCTTTACTATACTATATCGAACTTCAAATTGACCAATGTCGATGGATAAAAGGTTGGGATAGTGATGAAAAATGAGAAGAAAGTACAGAATGCAAGGTTTGTGAGTTTTGGGTTACCGGATCTCATCAATTTTGAATAGCAGAGGTTGATTTCGTTAAAATTTTTGGGGTTAAATGGTATCAAGAGGAAGTTAGAAATTTGTGGAGCAAATTAGATACAGAACAATTATTGAAGGATTTAATTGATGTTTTAGCAATAATTTAAGAGACAAATTATATACTAATTTAAGATGTTGACGTGGAGTGACTATTTTATTACAAATTGATAATATTAGTGATTGTAATAAATTTTTTCAAATTTCAATTGTGAAAAAAGAAATTTACTAAAACATTAGTGACCCTTGTTGTAGTTTACCCTTTCGTGAAAATAATAAAATAATTATTTGGAATAAGAAAAATAGTAAAAGATAAATCTTTTATTGGTGTTTAAAATTCATCCATGAAGCGATCACTTTCGCCTCGCAGAAAATTCACGCACGATTCTAATATACCGACGCACAAAAACTAAACATAATATAAAAATAACATAAAATGGTATATATATATATATATATTAGAAGTTATGATATTTGACACCGTTTATCTAATTCGAGTATTATTATTTAAGTATAACTTAATTTATTTAAATAATTAAAGAAATCATCATTATTTTTAAAAATTATAAATTTATATTTAAAATATATACTATTTTATCGAAAAAATTAATAAAAATAATATGAATATTCACCACATGACGTAATTTAAGAAGAAAAAACTTGATCAGAATGCCCAAAAATCTTGATTAGTTATCTCACAAGATGAACAGACAAAGGTCCTTTTTATGTGAATGGGGGGGGGGCCACCTCGCCGTCCACCATACGCCCATTCCCTCCTTTTCTCTCCCTCGAACACATGTTTCTGTCTTTACAATAGGCAATATGAACATCTCATCATCTCCATTTTCGTCTTTTTCTTTGCTTCTACTCTCCTCTTTCCCTTCGTTTCCATACTTTTCGTAAGAAACGATTTAACTCGATTTTCTCTGCCATGAGTAAGCTCGTTGTTGAAGTTGTTGAGGCCGTTGATTTGATGCCTAAAGATGAACAGGGTTCTTCGAGTCCGTTTGTGGAGGTTGAATTCGATGGCCAGCGTCAAAGGACCCAAACCAAGCACAAAGATCTTAACCCTTCTTGGAATGAAAAGTTTGTTTTTGATGTAAACAATCCCGGGGATCTTGAATACAAGACCGTTGTCGTCACTGTTTACAATGATAAACAAGGTGACCGTGGTCACCACCGGAATTTTCTCGGCAGAGTCAAGATTTCCGGCGGTTCGGTCCCGTCGTCGGAATCTGGTTCCGGTGTGCAACGCTACCCGCTTGATAAACGTGGCCTTTTTTCAAATATCAAAGGAGATATTGCTTTGAAAATTTATGGCGTGCATGATGGAGTTCCTCAAGAGCCGGTGGTACAGCGTGCGGTTCCTGAGAGAGTTGTTGCTGAAAATGAAGAAACCGGAGGTTTTGAAGAACCCCAATCAGAGAAAATTCCGTTTGAGGAGATCGACACTAACAGTTATGAAGAAGAAGTAAAGGTAGAAGAAAAGGAGAAGAAGAAGGAGAAAGAACAAGAAGTGAGGACTTTTCACTCTATAGGGACCGACACTAACAGTTTTGATGAAGAGGTAAAGGTAGAAGAAAAGAAGGAAAAGAAGAAGAAAGAACAAGAAGCCAGGACTTTTCACTCTATAGGGACCGGAGCTAGTGGTCCTCCTCCAGCTCCGCCTCAGTCTGCACCACCTCCCGTCAAGGAAAAACCCCCGGTGGTGGATACCAGAGCAGATTTTGCTAAAGCAGCACCGCCGGCTGCTAGTGTAATGCATATGCAGATGCCGAGGCAGAATCCGGACTACCTCTTGGTGGAAACTAGACCGCCGGTGGCGGCACATTTGCGGTACCGAGGCGGCGACAAGACGTTGACTACTTACGATTTAGTGGAGCAGATGCATTACCTGTATGTAAATGTAGTCAAGGCAAAGGATCTTCCTGTTATGGATCTTTCAGGGAGCCTAGATCCTTATGTGGAAGTGAAGCTTGGGAACTACAAAGGGCAAACAAAACACTTGGAGAAGAATCAAAACCCTGTATGGCACCAAATCTTTGCTTTCTCAAAAGAAAGGGTGCAATCAAACTTGCTTGAAGTTGTTGTCAAAGATAAGGATTTTGGGAAGGATGATTTTGTTGGTAAAGTCGTGTTCGATGTCATGGAAATCCCTCTTCGAGTTCCACCAGATAGCCCATTGGCACCTCAATGGTACAGATTGGCTGATAAGAGAGGTGACAAAATCAGAGGGGAGATTATGTTGGCAGTTTGGATGGGAACACAGGCTGATGAGTCCTTTCCCGAGGCATGGCATTCGGATGCTCACAACATTAGTCACTCGAACCTGGCTAATACGCGGTCCAAGGTTTATTTCTCCCCCAAGCTATATTACCTTCGAGTTCATGTCATGGAAGCTCAAGATCTTGTTCCGCATGACAAAGGCCGGCTTCCGGATCCGTATGTTAAGGTAATACTCGGGAATCAGATTAGACCGACAAAGGTACAACAGCGGACCGTTCATCCAGTTTGGGATGATCAGCTTATGTTTGTCGCCTCTGAGCCTTTTGAAGATTACATAATCATATCCGTTGAGGATAGGATTGGACCTGGTAAAGATGAGATTTTAGGGAGGGCGATGATTTCGCTTCGAGAAGTGCCTCAAAGATTGGAAACTGGTAAGCCACCAGACCCTCGGTGGCTTAGTCTTCTCAAGCCTTCAAAGGTGGAAGAGGAGGGTGAAAAGAAGAAAGAAAAATTCTCAAGCAAGATCTTGTTGCGGTTTTTTCTCGAGGCAGGGTACCATGTTCTTGATGAATCTACACATTTCAGCAGTGATCTTCAACCATCGTCGAAGCATCTTAGGAAGCCCAGCATCGGGATTCTCGAACTTGGGATTTTGAGTGCAAGGAACTTGCTGCCAATGAAGATGAAGGAAGGTAAGATGACTGACGCATATTGTGTGGCAAAGTATGGGAACAAATGGGTGAGGACTAGAACGCTTCTTGATACTCTGACTCCTAGATGGAACGAGCAGTACACTTGGGAAGTTCATGATCCGTGTACTGTGATCACCATTGGTGTGTTTGACAATGCCCACACCAATGGAAGCAAAGATGATGCAAGGGATCAGAAAATTGGGAAAGTGAGAGTTCGGCTATCGACTCTTGAAATAGATCGTGTTTATACTCATTATTACCCTTTATTGGTTCTTACACCTTCTGGTTTGAAGAAGCATGGGGAGCTTCAGTTGGCATTAAGGTTCACTTGCACTGCTTGGGTTAACATGGTGGCTCAATACGGAAGACCATTGCTTCCCAAGATGCACTATGTCAATCCTATACCAGTCATGAACATAGACTGGCTGCGCCACCAAGCAATGCAGATTGTGGCAGCAAGATTGCAAAGAGCAGAGCCACCACTGAGGCGAGAGGTGGTTGAGTACATGTTGGATGTGGATTACCATATGTGGAGTCTCAGGAGAAGCAAAGCAAATTTCCACCGCATAATGTCGGTTCTTTCAGGGGTTACTGCTGTTTGCAAGTGGTTCAACGATATCTGCTACTGGAGAAACCCAATCACAACCTGTCTGGTGCATGTTTTGTTCTTGATGCTTATTTGCTACCCAGAACTAATATTGCCTACAATTTTCTTATACCTGTTTGTGATCGGTATATGGAACTACCGGTTCAGGCCGAGACATCCCCCACATATGGATGCCCGGCTTTCTCAAGCGGATAATGCACACCCCGATGAGCTAGATGAAGAATTTGACTCATTTCCAACATCCAGACCATCGGATATCGTACGAATGAGGTACGATAGGCTGCGAAGTGTTGCCGGTAGGGTACAGACAGTGGTCGGAGATCTGGCAAGCCAAGGAGAAAGGGCTCAAGCAATACTAAGCTGGCGTGATTCGAGAGCAACAGCAATCTTCATCATCTTGTCCTTGATCTGGGCAGTGTTCATTTATGTTACTCCATTCCAAGTGGTGGCCGTTCTGTTCGGTCTCTACTGGCTACGCCATCCACGCTTCAGGAGCAAGCTGCCATCGGTGCCTGTCAACTTCTTCAAAAGATTGCCATCCAAGTCAGACATGTTAATATGAGAAATTAAGGGAACTCCCATCATAAATATTCGTTTAATCAGTAAGTGAATAAAGGGGATTCAGCAAATAACTTTCAACAGATATCATACCAGAAGATGGGGAAGAGAAAAGCAAACCATTACAGAATCTCACTTTTCTAGCTTTGGATATGCGCTTTCTCAATTGAACTTTTCAGCTGCTATTCAAGATTTTGCTCAAGTTATCATTTGTGCAGGTCATGAATGTAGGGTAAGTACATCCACAAGAGAGTAAAATGGTAAAAGGAATTGTAGACCAGTGCCGGCAAGTATTGTACAACTACTTCAGATTTATAAGATAAAACTGATTTTATAATAAGAAATATGTTTAACAATGATTCTGCAAATCCATCAAATCTCATTGGCACTTGTGTTAAAAAGTAGCACAACAACAACAACAAAAAAGGTAATTCTGACATTGGAAATCTTCCCTAAACCATAAAGAGAAAAACAGTCTAAAGGACAATTTTATTTTGATGGTGAAGTCCTAAACTCTAGACGCATTACTACTGCAACAATCATCAAAAAGCTGACAACGATTCCAACAAGAAGAGCCCTATCAACAATATCCCAGCCGCCTGGGGTCCAATTCTGCCTGTTCTTTAGCCCTGAGTCAATTTCATTCTCCACCTTTTCACGCTCATGGTTCCTTCGCTTCCTTAGTAACCAGTGAATCGGATTTTTGCTAACTCGATTTTCCATCGAACTATCATTCTTGGAAACTGCATATTCTTCCAATCTAATCTGTCCTCCACAAAAGTCTGGTCCACAAGTGCGTGGTTCTGGCTCCATAGAACATGCACAACTCTCATACTGGTTGGATCAAGGGAGCAGTTTCTCCCTAGTAACATTCTCCGGATCCATTTTCACATTTACTTGAGTGAGGGTCTCAATGACTTCCCCAAACACTGACCATCTACCCACGGATGTTATCTTCACCATAGCTGAAGTGCCCAAAATACTTTCAGGAGCAATTATGAGAACCTGCACATATCCCTTTGTACGGCCAACCTTGGGACAATGAAGAAAATACAATACGTTAGCACACACTTGATAAAGCTTTTCAATAAAGTGACAAGTTCTAACTAGAATGTCCAATAAAAGGTTGAAGAATAAAGTGACTTCAAACACCATAAAGCAAACACAAGCTAGATATTAGATGGCACTGAAAATTGCATTTAGATAAATTCTGGGCACATGACATGGCAAGTACCATATCAGTAGACCATGAATGGGTTTTAAACAAAGAAATTGAACAACTAGCTGCAAAGAGAAGATTGACAAGACTTGCAGACTTTCAAAATAAGTAAAAAGAATGTACCACATACTGAACTGGCTTGCTAGGGGCAGTTCGTTTCAAACTAAAAAAAGAGGAAGAAATCAAGTTCATTAGAGAGCAAGACACCAGGACAGTAAACACATTAATATGTCATCGCAAAGCAGCCCAACAGCAGGGTTTTAGTCCACAAACATCGGAGAATAAATCTAGTTTAAGCTGAAACCTAGTTTCCTAACTAGGGCCACAACACGGGATGAAAAAGTATACGAAAGTGCAAAAGTGTGTTTTATCAGTAGCAAATAGTCATACCAAATGAATACCATCAGTTGCAATTTCAGTAATCCAAATTCTTTCAACTCTGCCTTCCATTCCATTGTACGGTGTAAAGGCTTCAAAAACAGAAGTTAATTCACGGCTCCGATTCTTCACTATAGTACTTGGGACCTTTTTCATCCTTGCAGCAGGAGTTCCTAGTTTAGAAAGATCATGCATATGAACTTCTCAGCTTAGCACACAAGGAGCAAACAAATGAACAGTCTTAACATTGGCCAAGCAAAATATCAAGCAGAGTTTGTTCAACAGATAAGGTTTGAATTATTAAGTCCAGTGATGTCTTATTTTATTTTTCAGAGAAAAAGAAGTTCAATGGTGTCATAATCTCTCTCAACTTTTGGGGGTTCATGCATTAAGATTATAGCGACAAATATACCATTTCTAACATGGATTTATCAGAATCAAGTATAGCTAATAAATATAAAATCTTATTAGCACAGATAAATAAGGGCCAATCATTTGTTTAGCTCTATACTACAGAAGTTATCATTCTGTCACAATTATTTTTGCATCCCATATGTCAATTTATTAACCTTAAATCAGTATGTACCACCTAATTTTTATTCCTAGCAATTGGATGATTTACAATCAATATCTACCAAAAGAAAACGCTTATAGAATGATGTACTTGTTTATTTTCAAAAGTTCTAACCTTTGCAGTTTCATAAGTTACATTTTTCTTACTAAAGGCATGCTGCCTCCTCGACATAAGGTTTTTCTATTTCAGTGTTAAATGTAAGGATGATTGTACAAAAGAATAGGTAGTCGGTGGAGAGGCCCAATTTTAATAAGACCAAAGGAAACCTAATACTTAACAGATGTGACACAAACCTACACATGGACAACCTCACCAGGGGTCATCATCCTCCCACCCATGAGATTAAGTAGGAAGAACATAACAATGTTAAGCCTCTAACCTAAAACCAATTGGCAATAGTTGAAGGGCGTTGGACTTTCCTCTTCTACTTATTTTCCCTCGATTGTTCTCCATTTCCACAAACAGAATGGGTAAACTGGTTGAATTTGGGAATTACAGCTCATATGGTTGGAGTTGGGATGTGCAGTTTAGAAGAAATTTAAACGACTGGGAAGTAGAAGAGTGGGTTAACTTGATGAATGCTATCTCCTCTGTTTCTCTATCTACGGAGTTATGTGATGGGGTGATTTGGAAAGGTACTGGAGATGGAGTATATACTGTTAAATCTGGCACTAAGATTTGTTCAACCATTATTTCGGATTCGGAAGAGGTATATTTCTGGAAGAAGATTATTTGGAGGGGCCAGATTCCACCTAGAGTGGAGTCTTTTATGTGGCAGGTGGTGTTAGGGAAGCTGGCTGTTAGGTTTGAACTTGTTAAAAGGGGAATTCAAGGAATTGTAGACATTAGGTGCCCTCTTTGTAAGAGAGAGGTGGAGTCTCCATCGCACTTGTTTTTCACGTGTTCGGTGGTGTGGATGATTTGGAACAAATTTCTTAATTTCTGGAAGATTAAGTCCGTTTTGCATTTTATTGCGAAAAAGTTCCTACTTGCTTGGGCTGAGTTGAAGTCTTCTTCTACAATTTGGTCTTTTATTCCTGGGGCAGTTATTTGGACTACTTGGAAAGTAAGGAATCTCATTGTGTTTGAAGGGGGAAAGCTGGATTTGGCTGAATATTTTTTCCTAGCAAGGTTTAGACTAGCTTCTTGGTTCCTTGCTAAGTACAAAGAGGTGTCTATTCCTAAGGATTCTCTTATTTCAGACCCTTCATTAGGGGATTTGTGCTCTCTTTATCCTAATCGGCTTGTATCTATATTTCCTTGGTCTCCTCCTCCTCAAGGTTTTGTAAAGTTAAATGTTGATGCAGCTACTACAAGAGATTGGAAGAAGAGTGGGATAGGAAATGTTCTAAAGGACTCCTCGGGTTCGACTTTAAGTTCTTTCAAGGAATCTGCCGGTCCGGGAGCTCCAACTTTTATGGAATTAAAAGCTATTCAAAAGGGTCTAATGTTCTATGCGAATTTACGAGACAGGAAGGGTCGTCTGATTATTGAAAGCGACAGCAAAGTTGCGGTAGACTGGATTAAGAAAGAGGATCTAGTTCCTGATGTTTATGCGTTTTTGATAAAAGATATTGTTCATAGGCTTAATGTTTTAGAAGGTGTTGTAAGATGGGTTAATAGGTCAGCCAATCTAGAGGTTGATGCCTTAGCTAAAGAAGGAATTGGCTGATTCTATTCTAGTCTTATATTTCGGGTGTTTTATGGTTGTTTCAAGTTTATTTGGTTGGTGGGGTGTATGATGGTTGTATCTTATGTAATTTTATGGTTCAATAAAATCCTAAGACGCTCTTTTCTTTCTTCCACTGATTAAGGAGTTCATAAAACTCCATTAATCAAGAAGGGGGTTTTTAACGAGGCATGAAATTCTTATAAAAAAAAAAGTAAGACCAAAGGAAACCTAATACATAACAGATGGAATAAATCCACTAAACAGAAATCACGAAATTCAAACAGTCGGCATGGAGACCAGAAAACATTTTAAAAAATAAACAGGCCCTGGCAATCTGTTTTTTTTTTTTCACCTTCTATCCTTGTAGCTACTGGAGGGAATAATAGTCATGGACACAATTTTTTTCCAATTTTAAATTATTCACCAAGGATTTGTTTAAGTATCCTAGTAAACAAAAGAAGCTGCCTAAAGACATCGTAACATAGCCTAATGATTGCTACAATAGTACAAGCCCTTAAATGGATGCTTAAGTAGACGTGTATGAAAATCCAGGAAATCAAAAGCTCCAATCGATAATTAGTATGGAACATAACAAAATGTGCCTTGCATATGGCCTCATATTGATAATTAGTACACAAAAGAAAGATAATTTTTTAGTAAAATAAAGCCAACAAGAGAGACAAAATAGTAGAAAATTATATCAAAGAAATTTCAGCAATAACAAATGCCATACCAGGTCTAGGATAGAACTGCGATATATGAACTTGCGGAAGCTTGTATTCCCTGATAAGATTTACTGTTTGAGAAAAATCTTCATCAGTTTCACCTGAAATGACACAAAAATGATTACAATTGAATAAAAAACCATTAAACCAAGTCCTTATGCAGCTTATTAAGAGTAAATGTTCTCATATGATAATATTTGTGATGGAACGTTTCTCCCATTGGCCTGACTTGGGAGACTTTTTAGCCAATTTGGGCTGAGCATTGAAACTTCCCTAAGCCTATTGGAATGGAGTAGATCATTTCATGGGCTAGCTGCCCACCCATGCCACAAGCTTCATCCTTTTTCAAGTAAGATATTAAATTGCAAGCCCGAGCTCAAGTGATTCATTAAATGGACGATTCAATTTAGTTTAATTTAAATTTAACTATTAATATAGTGTGTTTTTGTACTATTTTAACAATAAAATTTTCATGAGTTGTCAGGATTAACTCTCCAATGTTAGTGATCACATGAAGTCTAGGCCATGGGAACCTCTAGCTCGTAGTTCTTGTAAAATAAATTATTTTAATATTAATATATTTCAATTTTGAAGACTGAAACCAAACAAATAACAATAGTTGTTCGAGAAACTAAAAACTTTTGCTGGCCTGGTTCTGAGCTCGTGCTTAAATCCTTGCTCAGCCCCGCCCAAAGAAGGCCAGGGTTTCTGACCTGGGCAGTCAGACAATCCCAACGACAACCGTATCCTGAAGAATTCCAATTAGTAGAAA